GGGGGGGGGGGGGTCTTCGGGGCCATGAAATGTTGATGCCTTGCGGTCGATTCGATCCCTCAGTCTATGACTTCATTCGACCTGAAAGAACCGGGAAAAGAGCCAAAACGCTTTAACCTGTTTATGTCTGTTTATGTTGACTCCAAAATGTACCGTGAGCAGAGTTGCTAACAGAAATTTCATCGAATGTTTCGTGAAATTTCATGAAATTTCTTTCGACCGTCAAAATGTCAAACGTTTTCTCTCAGATTCAAGAAAAAGTAAAACATCTTCCTACTTACTGATCTCAAAATCTATCACTTCAAAGTTCAAAAATACAGGTACTCTACTTATTTATCAAATATTTCCTATGAAAAAAAGAAATACGCTAGCGAAGGAAACTGTTAATTCCTGAAAAATTATTTAAATTGTTTCAAGGATAGTTAAAGATCCCTCCCTCCCTTTTTTACCAAGAAAGAAGGATACACTATTAGGGGGTACTAGAATTCTTTATACTTAAGAAATTTGGTTTGTTCCAAATATGAAAGCTAACATCTTACTTTATCCGTAAAATTTATTTTGGTGTTCAACCGGTACGGCTGTGTGTTCAACCAAAATTTGAGAAAAAAATTCAAAATTATGTTTTTGCTGTTTTACTCAACTTTCAGGGCATTTCGAAAGTTCCCTTTGACAGTTTACCACGTGCGTATAAAGGGACTTACGGAGATTCATAAGTTTCTAGGGTTTAATTCTGAATCCTGAGTGTTAAATGTTTCTTGAAATTTCCTCATGAAATTTCTCTCTATTATCTTTCACGAAATTTCGTAGAATTCCGCATAATAAATTTTATTTTTCTAATAAAAATGATTATTATTTGATTTCAGCAAGTTTCCAATCCTCCCCTTACAATGATATGTTCTACTGTTCGCTACTTAGCGCCTCAAAGATTATATTAGCGACCCTCTGTTCACCTTTATCATACAGTACATCGTAACAATTCCCGAACCGTTTCAGTATTGAAGTCAACTCATCTTACTTAAGGAAGCCGTTTTCTCATCCCAAGTGATGATTATCGCATGTTAACCAGTCGTTCGTCATAGCGTCTTAAGTGTTCAACTTGCTGCCCGAGAACGGAGGCTTGAATAAATGGAGTTCAATTTCGTCATCGTTCTAATTCATAAGACCCAACTCTTTCATGATAAATTAGCCTCGGTCCCAAAAATCTTGTGCGTCCATACAAGCCATCGTCTTGCAAACTGTCTTGTCTGTCGGCCTCCTATGGTGTAGTGGTTGTAGCGCTTGCTCTATGATCGGGAGGTCCTGGGTTCGATTCCCGGCCAGGCGACCCGAGTTTGATGGTCTCAAACAATGGTTGCCTGGGACTGGTTCAGTAGGGACGGAGGGGGGATGGGACTTAAAGCGTGGGATTAGCCCTTGTGAGCGATGAAGTGTAAAAAAAAAAAAAAAAAAAAAAAAAAAAAAAAAAAAACTTCTTCCGAGGTTTTTCGTGCCGTCAGTTCTATTTATACAATAATTGTTGCAAGGATACTTATGAATGGAGGCACAAGTACCGCTCACTGGATGTTTATCTCTATCCAAGCTTAATTTATGAGTCCACATCGAGAATGGAAGTGAAAATACCGCTCACTGCATTCATTATGGTGTAGTTTTCTAAACTCTCAGTTTTGAATGGTACCGAAAGTATCGCTCACTGCATTCACTACTGTTGACTTGAGGCAAAAAGACCGCATACTGCTTTCATACCTATTCATTGAATCGAAGCAAAAGCACCGGATACTGCATTGGTAATATTGTCGAGTGGAGGCGAAAACCGCTCACCGCACCCATATTTAGGTAAATTAGATACGGGCGGGGCATGAGAAGTGATCTTGTTAAAGTGCTAAGCATAACGTCTTATTCATCTCTCTAGGTTAGCCCCATCACAAGTATTTTAGCTTCACTTTTATTCTTTATTTTTTCACTTTGACTCGAGACCTCGAGTACGTAAATCACGTCGAGGTCACCAAATGGAGCTATTGTCGATAGCAAGACTTGTTAGTTAGAGCAATTCATTACAGAAAAAGGATAGGGTAAATAAGGGGTGCAATATTTTTATATTCGAAACATAGAACAAAGACGGAGGGAAGTTACTCAGCAATTAAACACCGTGCAGTGTTGTAAAGTTTTTGCAACACTGTGCATGTCTTTCTTATCGAAAATGACTTTCTGCATTGAAAAATCGGTTTTGAGGTTTAAGTCACCTATTTTTAATTTTGTTCTATATCGTAACAACTTCTCATAATTCCAGGGTGGATTTCAATGTACCTTTGAAGGATGGCAAAATCACTAATAACCAGAGAATCGTTGCAGCTCTTGACTCTGTCAAATATGCCCTGGATAAACAAGTCAAAAGTGTTGTGCTCATGAGTCACTTAGGTCGCCCAGATGGAAGTCCGAATGCTAAATACTCCTTAAAACCTGTCGCTGATGAGTTAAAGACATTGCTGAACAAGTAAGATTATAACCAACCATCTTTTTTTTTCTCTCGCATCTTTGATTGGAAAGAAGCAGATAATTTGACAGCCTGCTGACACAATAGCAAATCCATAACTTGATCATGAACCTCACCCATCTGCATTCGAGTACTTACGCTATCAAGCTTGAACATTGAGATAGAAACCCAGGGTTTTAGATGTTTGCAGTATCGTTGAACACCTCACTTGTAGAAAAAATAACTTCTGTTCGTAATATTTTTTTGCCTGCAGCCACTAATTTTTATGGATCACCTTGGATAAACTTAATTCTGAAGAACTGCATCAGGCTTGCAAAGACACATCAGTCAAAGTAGGTTTTACTAGGTTGTGAGTAGTTTTACTAGGTTGTGAGTAGTTTTACTAAAGTAAACCGTGAATAGAGACCATGCCGAAGAATTTAACCTACTTTTGGAATGACAGATTAAAGAACCTCAATGGCAGGGCATGGACATGACAAATTATGGAGCTCTTAGGACCCAAAAGGGCAACCAACATACTTACACGAAAAACTCCAGATAAATGCCACCACCAATCCTCTGATTCAAATGTCTACTATGGATGGCCAAGAATGTTCATAAGTGTGCGTCCTTCTGCAAAAATGAGCAAATTTATGTAAAAACTACGACCTTGTCTCCACGAGCCGTTTCACGAGATTTGTCCGAGGGAAAAATCCCACTTACGAAGTTGGGAAAAATATTGAGTTAATCAATATTTTTCCCAGTACCAAGTATGGTACTTGTACCCCTAGGACCTACTGAGAGAAGAAGAAGAAGTGAAAACGAATTGTGTGATATTTTATTCATTACTACATTGTTAATGTTTGTTTAGTTAAAATAATGTGTCTAATTGTCAATTGAGTGCATCTATTATTATAATCCCGGTTAAATACTCGACTTTAACTACTTTATCTTCCCGCGCAAATTAGTCGCAGGACTACAAAGAACCCCGTCCCGTGGAGACGGTAACTGGGAAAAATCCCAGAAGTTTCATTCCTGCGATTTGAACTTGGGACAAATCCCATGAAATCGTCCCGTGGAGACAAGGCCTACGTCAAATACGTGCTTTACCAACAACGGGTTGTAACAAATGTATGAATATATCATTTCAGAAATTTTGAGTCTTTAGATTGGATGCCCTCATAGGTCATATAAGCTGCATGACCTTCCCTCCAAAATTACTGACATGTCCATACCTTCTCATACATGTAGGTTCTTTAAGTCAGATCAGCTGTCTTCAGTTCAGTGATGAAAGTAAATGCAAGAATCAAGTTGACAGATCCTCTGCCTCACTCTTTGTAAGGGTGATTTTATATTAGTGGAAATAGTGAAGTTGCCAGTTTAGTTTTTACCGTTTTTAAAGATATACGACAATTAAATTGAAAAAGAATACAATTGTTGATGAAAATCTTTTCAACTTGTGACCTTGCATTGACACATGCAAAAAAGTATGAGATATTATCTTGACAAATACTTCTATACAGTAAAATCTTCTGTCGATTACATAACCGACAGGACAATCCTCTTCCTGTTGGTTATACTTGAAATCGACATCCCATTTTATACGGTCTAAAAGCCTTAGTGATGCAAATTTCTTTTTACTTTTTGCATGAATCTTATGCTAGACCTATGGTTTCAACCACCTTGAATCCAATGCAACATGGCCGCCTTATGATTAAAATCACGAACAAATTATTTCATTCCAAAAAGAAGATACAAATTTTTACTTCAAAGAGCAATAAAAACACCGAAAAGCGTTTATAACATTACTTCTTGTTACAATTTTAACCCAAAAAAATATAATGAATAAACGCGATTGAAATGATACACAGGGACCAATTTTTCTTGTGACATCACAAAATCTGTTGGCGCAATATTTTCCGGTTTGAGACGGGGTTAATCTTTTGGCGACTTTGAAATTCCTTTTCTCGCCTATTTGATTCATGAAAAACGAAAAAATGCAGGCATTCTCATTTTTTATGCACTTTCCAATAATGAAATTTAGAAAAACCGTGCGACAGCCCTTATTTAGTCCTAAGTGCCTGTGGTATAGCCAAGAACTGAAAAAACTGTGTGGATTATGTCTGAGGTAGCTCTATTCTTTTCCGTTGTATGATATTCATTACTTTTTCAGGGACATCCTCTTCCTCAATGACTGTGTTGGACCTGAAGTAGAAAAAGCTTGTGCTGATCCACCCTGTGGTTCTGTTATTTTGTTGGAGAATCTTCGGTTCCATGTGGAAGAAGAGGGCAAAGGAGTTGACCCATCCGGCAACAAAGTAATTTTTTTTTTAAGAGTTAGCAAAGCATAATCATACTTTATAATATAAAATCATTAGTGTAACGAATAACACATAACGCTGGGTGTGTTCGTTACACCTTCGACTCTACTGCCCACGCCCCATTCTCTGTGGTGCAATGGCGTTTGCGGACTCTAATACATTGATGGTGGTGATTGGGTAATTATGTTGCAGGGCCATGGCGTTTGTGGATCAGAGAGTTTCAGCGGTGGCAATTGCGGACAGAAGGGTAGGTACTTACATATTCTACCCGCCACCCCTGCACAGTGTACTAGAGGTAAGAATGGGCCACCAGATAAGGTCTGAACTAATTGAGAAAACCACACACTTGAACCATAATCTGGGAACAGAAAAAGCCCAATATTAAAAAAAGTGGAAATTTTAAAAGCTAGTGCCATTCACTACCAATTTCTCATGCTGAAAGTGAAAATGGGATGTTCAGAAAGTACGGAAAAGAAGGAGTCAATCGTCATGTATGATAGTATTGAGGAGGCCTTACAAAAATATTTTTCAACTAAAGATCGCCAACCAACCTACGGGTCTTTCTACTTCATGTCGTTAAACTTACAACGCTTAGATCAGAGGATAATCATACTTGCAAACCTCCTTTAATGAACGTTTATTTACTTATTTAATTATTTTTTCGGGGGGTTTACTGCAAACCAAAAATTACTACAACCTCTTAATATTTATAGGTCTCTCATGACCGACAAACCTTTCTACTTCATGTCGGTTACTTAAGATTTTTTGAGTCATTTAACGTCCACAGAAAGTAATCCAGCAGGGTCTCGCTGTAATTTTTTTCTCTGGTCTACAGTGCAGAGGTAGGGGGCCAAATATGTAAACATCTACTTCCTTCTGTCCGCGATCGCCACCGCCGAAACTCTCCAATCTGCCAACAACACGGCCTTGCGCCGCTTTCCGAAATCGCCACCATCAATGTATGAGAATCCGCTAACGCCACGTCTGCAAACGCCACCGCACCATTCTCTATACCACTGGCAGCTGGCACTCATGTAGGGCGGCAATTGCCCGGTGCCCGCCCTGCGCATTTTGCGCCTACTTAATCCGCTACCACTCATCATACACAGTTCTTACTCCACCCTTACCGTCACATCCGTCTTTTTCAGGCTTCTTTTAGGCCTGTTTACACGGTTAGGGTGGGCCCGTGGGCCTTAAAATTGGCTCAATTTGGGAGTCGCCAATACATTGTTGAAAGGTGAACCTTCACCGGTGGTGTTCTGGATCAACGATCATCACCTCTAAAGACTTCATCCCCCCCTCCTAAAAACGCAAATTCGAATACATCAGGCGCGTGCTTTACGTTCGTGCTCGTGCGCTTGTTTTTGTTCATTCTTGCTAGTATGCTTAAGCGCTCTCGTTCTTGCTCTTATGCGTGCTAGCGTGCGTTCTCACATGCGTATGTTCGTGTGCGCACGTCCGTCTTCGCACGTAATATCGTCTTCAATATCAACGTAATTAAATTGTGAGTAAAGTTGAAGAAAATTGAAAGTTGAGAATAATTGACCGGCATTTCCTTTATTTACGTCCATGTGAAGGCCGGGAACGAAAAACACCCATCAGTAAAAGTTGTAGATCGTTGTATTAGTGTTGATTTGGTACCTATATTACCTCATAGGTTCACCTTTAAAATTGAGGGAGCTAAAGGGCAAAAACGGAGCGGATCGACGCGCGGCCGCCTGTGTTTTGAATCGTAAACTGGCGATATTAGGTGGCACATGATGGCAGTGATGGTTAATTCAACTTTGCTCGTCTACTTACGACCAAAGTTAATCATTTCCATTATAAAGGCTCTTTTCTATGAAGCGCCATGATTGGCAGTTTTCGATTTATTTTTTAAATGTTCACTAATTTGTCCTGGCGGCCATTCTAGTAATACTTTAGGCTTTTTGGACGATTTTTTAAACCTCCGCCCCTTGTAAAGCAACAGTGCAACTACTTTTCAATCCCCTTTTAAATCAAGTAACTGCCCTAATCTCCCCCCCCCCCAATATTCCAGAAAATGACAGAGAAAGTGTGAAAACTGGCCGACTTTTGGTTTGTATTCAAAATTATTATTTTTCTTTGAAGTGGGAGGCTCACGTAAAACTTGACTTGATTCCCGTCCCCTTTCGTAAGACCCCATGAGCCAAACCTAGACCTTACTTTTTTTAACTCATGCGTTTTCTATAAAGAGTTTCGTAACTGTGTGAGGCTCTCGTAGTACTTATCTTGTGATCTCTCACGCTACGTAAGACCCCGTGAGCCAAACTTAGGCCTTACCCCCCCCCCTCTTTTTGAGTAGCTTAAGCAAGGTTTTTTGTGTAGGGTAATGTTTCAGGCTTGCGCTCTTCAGCGTGTAAGTTACGCAACTCACCAAGCACGGGCCTGCCTGCAGACTTTATCTCTGAACTCACCTTAATACCCCACAAGGCTCGATGAGGGGACTCCATTTCAAAATATCAGGAGGCGACTGGGCCCTCAGATCCGAGGGCTCTTCCTCAGTGCGGCCCTTCATTTACGCCTTTGCTGTAGACTCATTCAAATTTTTAAAACATAATAAAAATCGCCTTTAGTCCTCATTTCTGGAGTTGATACTCGCATCTGGTTGTTCATTGAAGCGTGCTAATAAAATTTTGGATAAAAATAATTTTTTGTCCTCCCCATGCCCTAGAAATGGTAAATACACACTTGCGACCGCAATTTCCGCGATTTTATAGATCACTTCAAGTGACTTTGCAAACATGCATAAAATCTGCTTTCGGTAAATTCTATTTTTCAGGGTAGGTACTTTCTATTCTTCTTGGCCTGAACTAGGAAACTGTTTGAGTATCACATAAGTTTCACAAGAGGGGAGGGACAAGGTCTAAGTTCGGCTCACGGGGTCACACTGAAATTTTTAAATGGAATTTTAAAAGCCTCTTTTTCAACTTTGAAAAGTCTTTGAAAATTGAAGGCCCAATTTTGGCCTGGTTACCATTTTATTAAAAATATTAGACGAAAATCACTACAAAGTCGATAAAAATCGTGTTTACGACCTTGATATTAGTACCAACACTGCTTAGCAAAATATTTGCTACGAACTTTTTACGTCTTATAAATAAGCTTTTTAGAAATAACAAAACCCTCATTTTTTCCATGCTTACCAAGCTGGGTTGATAATTAGTGGAAAGTAAAAATGAAGAGATTTAGGCCATATTGAGAAGCTTACACATGGATCAAGAAACCAGACATCTAGAAAACCAATAATTGCTCTTGATTTATTATGAAAATGTTTCCCCAAAAACCGGAAGCAGATTTTATGCATGTTTGCAAAGTCACTTGAAGTAATCTATAAAATCGCGGAAATTGCGGTCGCAAGTGTGTATTTACCATTTCTAGGGCATG